ATCTGCAAGTCCCTTTTGCTATAGATTCATAGGTTTCAGGGACTAGGATGTGGATAGCTTTGGGTTAGGGGAGGCATTATTCAGTCTCCTACAATGAGTTACTGAAAATGAATTGACAATGTATAGGTTATTTATTTGGTAGGCTGAGCATAACAATGGCATTAATTATGAGGCAGTAAGGGGAACTGGAGGGGGCCCCTAAAGCCTGAGGAATGGGAGGGAGAAGGCATCTTGGGAAAAGTAGAGAAGGAGGTGGTCCGTGTGTAGTATGGTGGTGGGTAGGAGAGTGGAGGTGCCATTGACAATGGCCCCAGCTAGCTGAGGTAGAAGCTACAGGTTAGAATACACGAGGAGGGCATGGCTAGTCTGGGCTCCTGTGTGAGGTAGGACCTGAGAGCCACCCAGAAGAGTTTAGGTTTAGTCTGTAGAGATGGAGGCTGGAGGCTGCTGGAGCTAGCAGTGTAACCCAACATTAGGGAAAGTAATGCTGATGTAAAACTGCTTGATACTTTATGTACAGCTTGGATATGACTTACAATCAAAATCAGAATCAGGCTTGAAAACCTAATGAGTAGTAGGAAAGGAATGAGTTGGAGAATACTTGTAAAGAATACTACAGGAGGCCAGGCGTGGTGGCTCATGCCTATAATTCCAGCACTTTGGGAGGCCAAGGCGGGCGGATTGCTTCAACCCAGGAATTCAAGACCAGCCTGGGCAACATGATGAAACCCCGATGCTACAAAATGGAAAGGAAAAATGCTAGAGGAAATTGCTGTGTGTTGCCTAAGAGTCTGGAAATAGAAATAGCTGCTGGTGAGTAGGCTTTCCCTTTGTCTCCAGGTGAAATATTCAAAGATAAGGAACAAGAGGAAAGCCGAGCTTACCAGGGGAGGTCAGGTAGGTCCCGTCAGGAATTTCACTGTTGCTAAGAGAACCTCACTCCTGTAGACTTTGTTGTTTAAGGCACTTGGGATGCTGTAAAGTCTTGAACTCATTACACTTTTATTATGGGCTGCAGAAAACATCGGTAAAGGTTAATTAGTGCCATATTTATCCTTACATGCTGCTTTTACATCTCCTGAAGCTTTATCACTTATTGATCCTTTCTTATTTTTCTTGTGCTATATGGCTCAGTTCCAAGAGAGGGCAGATCTGGGGATCAGATGACAGCCAGTATTTAGGCTGAATTAGAGGAAGCAAAGGCAATCCTTTTGCAACGGAAGATGCGTTTTCCTTTCAGATGCATCTAGATCTAGAGTATTTTGGAAATGTTGGTGTTAAATCTAAAGCATATTTGAGATTATTTCTTCAACCACCTCAGTATTGATAAAATAGGTATGTTTTGAAACTGTGATGTTCTTCTGTCTCTCAGGGTTTTAGTGGAAGGAATGCAGGGAAGAAAGACATTTTTGTTAATTTTTGCTGCTGAATCAGGTTGCTTATAACCCACGAGGCAGCCACCCATCATCATCTTGTAGGATCTAGCTTGTAGGATCATCTGGTAACTCTGCAAGACAGCTGGTGTGTCAGGCTTGGGCACCATAGTCTCTGCCCTCCCCTGACCTTCCCCTTCCTGAGTGTTGGGGTTCCACCAGCTGGTGCCTGGCAGTGTTCTTTTTTTGCCTGAGTATGCAATGGTGATTCCCAGATGAGACCTCCTAAGCTAGGTCCACACAGAACCCTCCTGTCCCCTTACTCCATCAGTGACTTGCCTGTCAGTTCTCTCCCTGCTTTTCTCCTTTCACTGATGTTCAGGGCAACATTTGGTACTGGAGACCTATTTTCACCTGCTTCCCACCTCTTCTCTAGCATTTTTTGCCTTCTCCAATGGTTCCTATGCTAGCATGTTTTAATCAGAGGATCACAGTGGCGTTTATACCTTGGATTTTCTTTCTGTGCTATCATTTCAGGAGAAGGTAGTGTTTATTACTTCTGAAAACACCAGGGATAATGTGAACTAATACCCTCGTGTAAGGCCTAAATACTACATTTTACTCTTGATGACTTAAACTTGTATTTTCATTGGTAAAATACTATGTGCAAAGTTTAAAAAGCCAACAGTTCTGAGAAGTCTATAATGACAAAGTCATTAATCCTCACTCCCTCTCTACCACTCTTTAGCTTCTTCTGGCTGTTTCTCCTAGTGTTTGTCTCCATGTTGCTAAATAATCTCATAGTATTCTTTGAGGACTTTTTAGACTTCTCTCACTTTGTTCAAGGAGTTTTTAATGCTCTTAGGCAGCCCCTATGCCTACTGCATTTTCCTTCTCTCCCCACCTCCCACCTCCCAACCCCCTACACTTAACTTTTGGAAATATTTTCTGGTCTTAAAGTGCTTGTCAAGTTCATCCCAAGTAAGCAGTAAGGCAGGTTTCCTGTTCTTTTTCTTCACATTTTTGAGACAAGGTCTTGCTTTGTTGCCCAGGCTGGAGTGCAGTGGTGTGATCATAGCTCACTGCAACCTCCGCCTCCTAGGCTCAAGCAATCTTTCCACCTCAGCCTCCTGAATAGCTGGGACTGCAGCCTGTGTCACCACACCCAGCTAATTTTTGTATTTTTTTGTAGAGACCATATTGTCCAGGCTGGTCTTGAACTTCTGGCTCAAGTGATCTGTCTGCCTTGGTCTCCCAAAGTGTTGGGATTGCAGACATGAGCCACTGCACCTGGCCTCCTGTTCTTAGTTGGCTAATTTTACTCTAATCTCAATGCTTCACACCAGAATATTTCTTGAATACCAACTTTGCCAGTAACTGAACAAACTACATGTAAAGACTTTTCTTGGGTATTGGAACCCAACACAGTGAGGAAGGGTAGACTGAAGAGTCATAGTGCACTTCTATCAAGAAATTAGGGGAGGTTATCTCTGTAGTCTGCCTGGATGGTTCAGGTTGTCTGAAACTTAAATGGAAGTTAAGGCTCTGAATACACGTAGGACTTCTGAATCTGTGGCAGGTAGTATAGTCTTATCTGATTTAGAGAATACATAGAGAGGCCAGGCATCTATGTGCAACTCAGCTTCATCAGCCAGAAGCGAATGCCCTCTCTCACCTCACCCCAGTAATACTTAACCTAGCCATAATTAGCCAACCAAAGATAGGAACAAGATGCCAAGGCCAAGAGCACTTGAGAATTGAGCACTCCATCTAACAAGGGAGGTCATCAAGTTTCTTCTCCACCCTTTCCCTGAAGTAACTCTTGGAGCAAGCTTGGGACACTGGGTTCAGATGGCTCGGAAAGTTCTGGGGCACTGATAAGATCAGACATTTTCTTGGGAATTTTTTACCTCAGAAAATTCCAGTTGTCAAAGATTCCTGTAGAGCAATATGTGGCAATTACGGTATGGAAACAACAACAACAACAACAAATGAAAGGTTTTATGAGAGAGAAGCTCAAGCAATTCCATTAGAACAGGTTGACTCACCCAACTGTAGTCTGTTCTAACAACTTTAGAAAAGAAGATGAAATGAAACCATGAGATCATAGTGAACAGAATGGAGAAAACGGATGAATTATGAGACAAGCTTTTCATAAAAATCACCTGTTTCTCAATTTCTGCAGTGTGATTGTGATCATAAACATAAAGCCACTCTGGCTCTCAAAGATTGACTGTCTCTCCCACAAAGCACTCGCCAGACACAGACTGAGAGAAGGGCAGGGATGGGGAAGAACCTCGTTCTGTGAGGGCACAGATAGAGGACCCTGACTCGGCTACGGTTCCCAGAAATACTAGCTCCTGGAGTGGCTGATGTTGGATAGTTGAGCTAAGATTTCAGGGTTAAGGATGGTTTCATTTGAGGAATGGGAGGAGATTGTCCAGGCAGAAGGCACAGCATGTGCCAAGTTGCCATGGCAGGAAGAAAGGAGATGCAGTTGAAAAACTCAAAGAACCAGCTCTCAGGATGAGAGGGGCAGGGAATCTAAGGTAAGGCTGGAGGGTTAGGCTGGTCCAATACCATGAGATCAAGGGTTTCAAGCAAGAAAAAATGCCGCACTAAGATTTGCTGTGTGAATAGACCACTCTGCCTGTAGTAGGCAGGGTGTGCTGGGGCCATGGGAATGTTGAGTGGCCAGTCAGTGAGCCATTGCTGTAGCCTGGGGGAGGGCTGGAGAGAAGTGGATGGATACGGGAATTTTGGAGGGGGTGAATCCACAGGACTTGACAGAGTGGCTATGAGGGAGAGGGAGCGATCAAGGATGCCACTTAAGTTTCTGACCCACAGAGTGTGCTAGACTGGATGATACTACTTTTTCTTTTTCTTTTTTCTTTTCTTATCCTTTTCTTCTCTTTTGTCTCTCCTTCCTTCCTTCCTTCCTTCCTTCCTTCCTTCCTTCCTTCCTTCCTTCCTTCCTTCCTT